ATCAAAAATCTCTATGTATGTATAGATTATATATATGTATATGTATATGTATATGTATATGCATATATATTTACACAGATGAATCTACATAAAGCAGCACATGATGATGATTTAATGTTACAGAGAGATAGAGAGGAAGGAGAGAGAGAGAGAGAGAGAAAAAGAGAGTCGAGATCGACGGCGATGGAGGTGGTAGTGCCCGCGGAGGAGGGAGAATGAGCAGTGAGAGAGAGAGAGACGATCAAGCTCCAAGAAGTTCATTCCCGACGAATTAGATCGGTAGTGGTAGATTGGCAGGAGGAAGATAGTGGTTGCGGCGGCAGTGGAAGTGTTGCGATGGAGGTGGTGGTGGCAACAGCGACTGAGGCGACAGAATCGGCGTCGTTGTCGCCGTGTGTGAGGCGGAGGAGAGAGAGAAAGTGAGAGTGAGAGTAAGAGAGAGAGAGAGGAGTGTGTGTTTAGGGTGTGGACAATGTTGTATATGGTTTATATACAGAAGGGTATGTTGGTCATTTTATATATGCTTGTCCTTATGGACAACGAAAATCAGCGCTGGACTTTTAGACCAAGAAAATTTGAAATTGGATTTCACAACCGAGTGTCTTTTTTTATTTTGGCTTTTAAATTTTTTTTTCTACACTTTAACTGTTCAAGTTTTAAATTTTTTCTAATTTATTCCTAAAATAACTTTTGTTAAAAAAAAAATGCCATATTAATAGCCACGTAACATGAAATATATCATTATATTTAACATATACACTCAAACTTAAACTCAAATATAATAATATATATTTTGTATATCAAGCGACAGCCAACGTGATAATATGTCTAATTTTGAGCAGAAATTATCTTCACCAGTAATTTGAACAAACTTAAAATATGAATAGGGTACCTATTAGAAAGGTATAATTGGATGCCATTTATATATTAATTTTTATAATTACAAATTTTTAGATTATTTGTCTAAAAATTAAAAGGGATAATTACAATAAATTTATTAATTGGACTTATTTACTTATAAATTTTGAATATTTTTTAATGTATTTAATTTTTATAGTGATTTTTTTTTTTTAAATTTGTTTTATGTTTGTGGAATGATCAATTGATACTGGTAATAATAGTGATAAATTTATCAAATTGATAAATGATTAAGACTTTTTGACATTTGTTTGTGAGTTTTGATTTATTTTTAGTTTATTTGTGCTAGTCTGTATTGAAATATGATGTGAAAAGTATAGTTTGAATTATATTTTTTTAAAATATTTTTTACAGTAATAAATTTATCATTAAAAGTTGAATATCACTTTTTGATAAATAAATATAATCTACATGACCGATTAGTAATGGTTCCAAATTGAAATAAGTTGTAAATTTTTGTATAATATGTATAAAAAAAATGGAGAAAATTTAACATGCTTAATTAAATAAATTTTGACATAAATTTTTTATTGTGTAATTATTTCAAAATATCCTTAAAAGTCTTTTTACATGAATAATGATAACATTATATATATAATATAATATAATATTACAAATAGTTTTTTTTTTCCCTATGTTTTGTAGGGAGCTAAATAAAAAAAAAAATCAATAAATTAACTTTTAAGCTACAACTAAATGAAATCTAATTTTAATAATGGATTGAGCTTTAAATTTGAACATGAGCGAATTTGAGGGCTAGTGGGGCATATCATAGACCTCGTTTCAATAATTTTAACTATTCTTTTTGTAAGACCTTTAATATTGTTTATGAAAAAAATTAAATTGATTCATAATTATAATATTTTCATTTTATTTTTTGAAAAGAGATAAAAATAAATGATTTATTTTAAAAAATATACTAGCAGTTTATTTTTTAAAAAACAAATGTGATAAAATAAAAAATTACAATTATCGAATTGATTTAAATATTTTTTATGAATGATATATAAAAGACTTCATAAAATGAATGTTTCAGATCATTAAAAGGAAATCTGTCCAACAAACTTCTCAAATTCTTCCCAATTGAGATTTTGAACTTTAAAAAAACAATAACCTTTAATAATTTATGGTAAATTACACTTTGTCCCTTATATTTGGCTTGTTTATTTATTTATTTTTATTTTGGCTCTTAAATTTGTTTCCTTCACTTTCGCCTTTCTTATTTCAAGTTTTTTTATTTGTTTTATTTATTTTTATATAATTTACTTCAAAAATTAATTTATGTTCAAAATTAGACAATGACATACTGGCAGCCACATAGCATAAAAATGTTTTTATTAGATGAACTTACACCTCAGACGAAAACAAAACCTCAATGTAATGGTATATATTTTATGTCATGTGTTAATTAATCTGACATTTTTTTTAATTTAATTTTAAATAGAAGTCAATTTTAAAAGTAAGTTAAGAAAAACTTGAAACGTGAAAAACTAAAATAAAAAAATTAAGTGTCTGTTTAGTAATATTTATATTTATAGTTTTTTTGTTTATATTTAGAATTTTAAAAATTGTAAATAGTTTAAATTTTGTAAACACAAGAAAATTGGTTTCACTCTTTGTTTAATTTTTTTTTTCATTTTATCTTCATTCTTGTACTCTTTTCGACTCCCACACATTGCTCCCCCGCCTCAATTTTAATTTTTTTAATATAACAAAACTAAAATTTTCACTATTTATTTATCATATTACTCCATCTTTTCACTCTCATTAATTATAAATTATTACCTATAATTTCATTAATTTTTATTTATTTATTATTACAGTTACAAAATTAACTCATCCCTTACTCCCAATATGATATGGGGTGGGGGTAAGGGTAGAGGATGGCAAGCCCGCTCCAAACCTTCTCTGTTGCCCTCCTTACTCATTACTATCAATTACTATTATCAATGACCTCCTCCATCAATTACCTTTGGCTATCACATCTCTCAATCACTAATCACTTGCCATCACCACCATCTCTTACTGATGGTAACCACTTTCGACCATTACATTTTATTGAAAATCATCTTTAATTATTACTTTATGTGGCGACTGACCATTATCTCCAACCACCTCCCGTAGCCCCTCATTTTCCCTTATTTTCAAAATAAAAATTTAAAATATTCATATACAAACATATTTTTTATTTATCCAAAATAAATATAATTTTGTAAACAAAAAATAAAAAATTGTAAACATTGTCAAACAACACCTAAAAAATTCAAAGGGCATTAAAAAATGACCAAATATAAAGGGCCATATCAATAATTTAAGGTCTATTTTAAGAATTAACTATTTTAATTATTTTTTGGTAAAAAGCAAAAAAAATAAAATAAAATCTATAATGACTTTTTTTTTGGTAACTATTTCAGCAAAGTGCCAGAACAACCTTAAGCGAAGGCGTTAGGATCCTCTATAGTCTTTTTCTGGAGTGATCTCCTACAGTGAAAGAGAGGAGTCCGACACGTGTCCCCACTCAGCCTTCAAGGGCTAAGATTTAAAATCACCAAAACGACGTCGTTTTGGTGAATAAATTAAACCAAAAAACTAAAAATAAAATTCATCGCAATGGCAGCAACATCTCCATCTTTTTTCACTCAGTTCTTGGGGAGGATTAGAGAGAAAGAGAAGGGACCAAAGCTTTGATTTTGGGTGTTTCGATTTCTTTTAAATCAACACAATCTCTTGATTTAGCTTCTAGACAAACCATCCATATGCTTGAAAGAGGTAGATCTGTTCAGTCAGGCCTTGATGATGAAGATGATGATGAAAACAACAGCCCCTCTCCATTCTCTTCCTCTTCTCTTTCATATTCTCTCTCTACCAAAAAACAGAGGATGCCCCAAATTGGCATCAACGCCAACCGCAACTGTTGGACAATTACCATTTCATTCTTTCCCACCCAAAAAATATCAGTCCCCCCAAACCCCATTTCATCCATAACTGCCACCTCCTCGTATCACAATAACATCCACCATTAACTCACCAAAACCTCTACCATGGATGCTCAGGATTCTCGCATCTTTGATATATTTATCTACAATCTATGCAAAAATACATAAATGTTAGGGATTGAATGCAAATCACGAAATGAAATGTAACGATTTGATCATTATCATCATCATCAAGGTGTTTGAAATACCTTTCTGTTGCTAAGCCACCAATATTGCTTCTTTTCTCTAGTCGCCAAAGATGGAGATGTTGTTGCCAAGCTCTGGTCCCTTCTCTCTCTCACTCTCACAGGAATTGCGTGAAAAGTGAAACCTAGAATTTTGAATTTTTTTTTTTTTCAATTTACTCACCAAAACGAAACGTCGTTTTGGTGATTTTAAATATCAACCCTTAGTTTTGTGAGTGGGACATGTGTTGAGCTCCTCTACTTTACACTAGCAGATCACTCTAGGGGGATCACTCTAGAGGATCCTAATGCTAAGCGATGGTGAGGGTTGTTCTAACTGCCCATTTTGGCAACAAAAAAAAAAAAGTCACTTTTGTTTTTTGAATTTTTTATTTTTATTGATTTTTTAAAAAAATTATATTAAACTTTTTATTTTTTTGATCTGTCTTATCAAGACGAATTTTAAAAATATATTTTTTTATAAAAATTTTTTAAAAAAATTTACTAAAGACGAAAATAAGTAAAAAAATATTACTTATTTTGATTTGCTTTTGTCTTTTTTGACTTTTTTGAATTTTTTTTTTAAAATTATAATTTTTTGATTTATCTTCTCGAGAATTTAAAAAATTTAAAATTTTTAAAAAAATTAATTTTTTTTTTACTAAAAAATAAAAAACCATTCCCAAAGAACTTACAAAAAAAGAAAAAAGAAAAAAAAGGGTTGACCAAAGTCTGTAATCGAGAAGAAGGCTGTGGAAGACGGAAGGAGGTTATTACTTATTTTGATTTGCTTTTGTTTTTTTTGATTTTTTTGATTTATCTTCTCGAGAATTTTAAAATTTTAAATTTTAAAAAAAAATTAATTGTTTTTTTTACTAAAAAAAAAACCATTCCCAAAGAACTTACAAAAAAGAAAAAGAAAAAGAAAAAGAAAGGTTGACCAAAGTCTGTAATCGAGAAGAAGGCTGTGGAAGACGGAAGGAGGTTCCTCAATTGCGTTACGACGCGTGCTCTGTTCTGTCGGTTCCATTCCAAGAAGCTTCTATCTTTTCTTCTATTGCTCGCGTTTATCCACTTGATCACACCGCTCGTCTCGTCGCTAGGGCAAAATTCAATTCAAAATCAAATCAAATCGAATCGATTTGGTGGGAGTGCGAAGAAGAAGAAGAAGAAATAGAAATGGCGTTGAATCCTCAGCTATTCCCAAACGGAATGCCCGTTCCTTTTGTGAACGAGATGTTCGTCTTGGCCAGAGATGGCGTCGAATATGAGGTTGACAAGATTCAAAGATGAATCTTGCTTTCTTGTTCTTTTTTGTATACTCTCTCTCATCATCATCATTGTCATTGGGTGTTTAATTGCTCTAAAATTAAATTTGAAATCTTTATTATGTTCGGATGAGGCTAATCAGATTCCCAGATAGGATAAATTGAATACTCTCCACATCAAAAATTGTATTAATTGTATTTTTGTACCTAATAGAGTAATTTTTATCAAGTATTTAGGCCTATTTAGATTGATATCAAAGAGTTCGGAGTGCGTTATCAAAATTACACATGTTTCTTGGTTTGAAAAAAATCGAGTTTGATTTTAGGGTTGGATCACTTTAATTAAGATTGGTATTTGGAACAAGTTTCTTCCTTAGGACATGGCTTTTAAAAAAATTGTATATTTTTATAATTTTTTTAAGCATTTTATCATTGGGAACATATCAACTAAATCCTTGGAATAATAGGTGGAAGGCAATGAATCATAATAACCATATTGCAAAAGAGGGGCAAAAATATAATGTTGCAATTTGATATGTTCATACCAGAGGAAGAGAAATTCACAATTTATATAGTAAAGGATTGCAAAACATCTTGAATCACTTGTTTCTTTATTAATTAATAATAATTGTATCCAAAGGTGGAGGTGGTTTAATATTAGTTTTCTTGAGTTAGTGGGATGTCCCTAGTTAACATCATTGGGCATTACTTTTAAAGATGAAAATGATTAATGGTTGAATGATTAGATTGGGCTATGAGGGAATTCAGAAAACATAGAGTTTAGGTTTGAAAGATGTTTTCTCTTTTCAGAAAATTGTGTGTCCTACCTAACTGTTTTCTTGAATGAAACATTTACTGTCAGGATTATGCATCATTGCCATTTCCTATTGTTTTATTTTTCACTTAATGCAAACATATTATTGATATTTTGTGAAGCGAAATATTGTCAAAATGTGGATTTGTTGGCTTTATTTTTATGCCTTGGTAATGTTGCTAATGTTGAGTTGTTTGGGACAAGTCTTAGAAGAGAGAGTAGTTGATTATGTAGAAGTTTGGAAATGGGATAACAGGAATAACCATAGTTGCAAAAAATTGTATGAATTGTGATTTGAATCTTACAATTAGGTCGATTAAATCCTTAATCAAGACAAATTGGTTGGGGTGAATCAACAGAGTGCTTGAATCCAGGTCCGGGGCATCATTCGAATCCTCAATTCTGCCCCATGGTTCTTTTTCGATTTTTAGCCCTCTTTTAGTTTATTTTTTATTTTTTTGTTGGCATATCGTCTCTCAAAGCCTTTTTAGATTTTATATTTGTTTTATACCATTCTTCTCCACCCTAAATGGGGTTTGCATAGTTGACCTTGTTTATCGTACAATTAATGGAAAAAGAGAAGTTATAGGTGTTACCTAGTAAAGGTGCCTGAATTGATGAAATATTCTAAATTCCATAATAACTAATCATAAACATCTGAACACAAGAAGTCAAAGCCACCCAATCCATCTCCACCAATTGAAACAATTTTTACCATAAGGCCTTAGCTACATGGCAATGCATGATTGCAGCAATGAAAAGCACCTTTCATAGTCACCTGGTGTAAGTTCATATTTTTTTTGTGATGGTTCTCATGCATGCCTTTAATTATTTTGGTAAAGCTTTTTTTCCCCTCTATTCTCTCAGTTTATTTGTTATATTGCATGTTCCAGTTTTTTAGCTAACATTGGGTTGTGGAAGTGACAATTTCAAATTTCAATTGGTCTTTGTATTGTGCAGATTATTGTTATTTTAAATTTCAAAAATTGTTTAGTGTGGTAAGAACTGAACCTCATGTTGGACTTTGCTTTCAGTGCTAATGGGGGTAAGGTTAAAGCAAAGGGAACAATCTTCTTGTCAAACATACGGATGGTCTTTGTTGGGAATAAACCTGTTGGGAATTTTATTGCTTTTGATATGCCCCTGGTACGGAAATGGTTTTTCACATGCCTTTCTTTTATTATTGTTCTTATAATGGTTTGGATATTTGGTCTGTATTTAACTATATATCTTGTAATTTTTCCCATTTTGTTTGCATTTTCATTATTTTGTGGCTAGCTAATTTATGGCCTCATTCTGCTGGTTTTTAGCAGACAATCTGCTGGTTTGCCTTTTTAACTACATTCCTCATAAATTTTTCCATTCTTTTTGCCGTTTATCTTTTTCCTACGTTTCATTAGTTTGTGGCTAAATCAGCCTCTACCTGCATCAATAAGAAATTAAACAAAAGCATTTTGTCATTTTGAAAACCTAGATACCTAGTAATTGAATATTTTTGGAGAAGACATAAATAACAATATAGTTTCTTAGTTTCGATGGACAATAAGAGGAGAAGAACATGATGATGATGTGCAAAAATCAATGGCAGTATTCTTATTGGAGGCCTTTCTTTTCTTTTTTTCTTTTTAATTTTTTTTTTTTTTACATTCTTTTTCTTCTTGTTCTTTATGGAAACCATGATTGGATATTTTGTGCAAGAGCAATGAGAAAGGAGCGCATATGGCAGAGATGATGTAGAGAAGGGGCAGAAAGCCTTCAAAGTGGCTTTAATCAGAAAAATCAATTTCTTGAAAACAAACTATAATGCAATATATGTAAGCTTGGATTTGGGCTTGAATTAAGTCAGGCCAACATTGGCCCTGTTTGGTAGAGTTGTGGGAAAGTACTTATAACTTATACCTTAACAGCTTATAGCTTATAACTATGAACATAAGCTGATTTCTGACTTATAAATTAAGCTTCTCCTGCTCCACTCAAAGAATAAGCTGATTTCTGACTTACAAAAAGCTATAAGATGCATTGTTAAGCTAAACCAAACACATCAAAATAGTTTAAATTAAGCTGAAAGTTGAAATAAGCTGAAAAAAAGTTACACCAAACAGGGCCATTATCTGGTTTGGGGGCTTTATAAACGGCCACCTAAATGTTCTGGGCAGTCACTTGTGTCATCCATCCTGGGGACTCCATTATGCTGCTTACCCTATTAGTATAGCTAGTGGCAACTGTGGTAAGTTGGCATTTGAAATGAAATGAAGGTACACTGGCTTAATTGAATGGAAATTGAAGAGGAATGGAAGTTGATCAGATTGATCATCTATAAGGAATGCAAAGTGAAGAGGGCGTTCCTTGTAGGCTTAAGTGAAAGGGATGAAATGGAGAAGAGTCCAGGGAATATCTCTGGTCAGTGAATTGTCCCAAGTTAGGGAAAATTATATAAAAACAGTTATCAGTGATAATTTTACTAGTTTGAGTTGCTTCTGTAGCCTGCAGAGATCTAGAATTAGAAGTGAAGAACATCATTTTTATTGATGAATTATCTATTTATTTATTTACTTATCTTGATTGATGCATACATGGATTTCACAAAGTTCTCTATTTATACAGACATTTGGATTATTCTAGACTATGCAAGAGACTTTAGAATTCTTTTGTTCATAGGGATTAGAAAGAGACTAGTTGATTTCCAAAGCATAATTAACATTATTCTTCTAGAGTGTAGTTGGTCCAAGGCAATGCTTCTAGTCGTCTCTATGTAGAATGTGCTGGAAAGTGCATTACTGTCCAAAACTTTCCCTTAATGCACTTCCTTTACTACAATCAATTCTTTGAGATATGGTGAAACCTTTCCTTAGGAAGTGCCTTGATCAGTAAATCAGCAAGCTGCTCTAGAGTTCTACAATGCATGAGTTGTATCTCTTCTTTTTCAATTGATCCTCGGATGAGTGATATGTTATGGCCATATGTTTCGTTTGATCATGACTTACTGGATTCTTTTCCATGCCAATTGCTGATTTATCGTTACAGTATAAGATAATTCTTTTGTTTTTCATTTCATCAGTGTCTTCTAGAATTCATCAAAGCCAAATAGCCTGTTAAGTGGCCTTAGCTGCTGCTGTACTCTGCTTCTGCTGAAGATTGTGATACAATTTTTTGCTTTTTAGAAGCCCAAGAACAAATGCCTGAACCAAGAGAGAAAATATAACCTGATGTGCTTTTCATGTCATCCAGACTCCCGGCCCAATCACTATCCGAATAGCCAATTAACTTTGAGTCTTTTACTGCCTTGTACATAAGACCATAGTCAAGTGTGTCTTGCAAGTATCTCAGAATTATTTTGGCAGCTCCAAAATGAATTTGATTTGGATACTGCATGAATCTGGACAGCAAACTTGCAGTAAACAAAATGTCTGGTCTGGTAGCAGTACTGCTAATCAAACCCTTATAAATTGAAGCATCAACCTTTTCACATTTTGTTATTTTCAGCTAAAGGAGCAGAAACAGCCTTGCAATCTGCTATATTAAAATTTTGAGTTTGATAAATAAAAATGCCTTCTTCCATTTGAGGTACTTCAATGCCGAAAAAATAGTGCAGCATCCCTAAGCCACTCATTTCATAAGCTGCTTACTCATATCCTTCTTGAATACTTGCATCATCTTGATGTCATTGTCTATGAGAATCAAATCATCCATGTAGCCATAAACGATGAGAATAAAGACATCTCTTCTCATGACATACAAAGTAGGTTTACTTTTACTCCTTTCGAATTCTCTCTATGTGAAGTAGCTGTCAATTTCACTGTAGTAAGCACGGGAGCTTGTTTTAGGCCATAAAGGGCCTTCTTCAGTTTATAAACTTTTAACTTCTCTCCCTTTCACCAAGGATCCTTGAGGCTGCTTCAAGCTGAAAAAATTTCAATTTCTTTAGAGCGGCAGCAAGTGCAATCAAGGTTCTCATTGCTTTCATCCTTGCAGTAGGAGAAAAGGTCTCAAAGAAATCTATACCTGGTTTCTGTGTGAACCCTTTTTCCACAAACCTCCTTTAATCTACTCCCATCTTGATTAAGCTTTGTCTTGTATGTCCATTTCACTCCAACTACTTCTCTTCCTTTTGGCTGATGAACAGGCTGCCTAAAATCTTGAAAGGTTCAAAAGTTTAGGCAGCCTGTTCTCGTTTGTCATTGATCTCACCATTTCAGCAATGGTTCTGTTCTACCTTGTTGCAACTCCATTTTGTTGTGGGCTATATCTGGCGTTGCTTCCGAATACCTTAATTTTTGGAATATTCTTCGAATTTTGCTGAGGTATATTTGCCTCCTTTATCACTTGGAATTGTCTTGATGGCACAACCACCACTTGGCTTTTCAACAAGGGCTTTAAATCTCTTGAAAACTAGTAATGTCTTGACTTTTTCTTCAAGTAAGAGTACACCCGAGTCATGTAAAAAATCATCAATGAAAATAAGGAAGTGCAAGTGATGCTTCAAAGTAGATCTTCATTTTGCCACAATCTTGGTATGAATGAGCTCCAATGGTGCTTGCACTCTCCATGATCTTCCTTTAGAAAACGAGACTCAGTGTTGCTTTTCCAAAATGAACCCTTCACAAGGGTCCATTCTTGTTCCAATCTCTGGTTATCCACTTATCATATTCTTTTCTTGAAGCAATTTTAGCCCATGAAAGTTCAAGTGGCAAAAATCTTTTGTGCCATAGACCTGAGTCCTCCACTACATCACCTCTGGAGGCAAGGCTTCACAGGAAAATTGATGAAGATCATAGAAAGAAGAAAAAGAGCAAATTTGGAATTTCACATGAAGCACATTTAGGGCATCAAGAATTAAAGATTTGGAATAATTTTGCGTTTGCATGTCATTATAGTAGGTTTTAATAATTAAGGATGTAATGGTAATTTCAATAATTGTTGGACATGGGTTGTAGGGGTTACCCATGGATTTTATTTTGGGCCAAGTTATTGAATGGGTTATTATATATGTCAAAAGTCCAAGTTTCCTATTTTGATGAAGTAGAATTAGAAGTGATTAAAGTTTTCTATTATGATTGAAATAGAATTGGAAGTCATAGTTGGTCTAGAATATTAGTAGTTGCTGAATATTTTTAGTTTCTAAATTTGAGAAATAGTCCTTATAGAATTAGGAGAGTCTTTAGCCTATAAATATATGTGTAATCTCAATGATTCAATAGCAGAGTTAATATTATTAAAATTTGATATTGTGTTTGTGTGATTGGCCTATCCCTTGTGAGGGTGAAGCACTTCTCTCTCTCTCTCTCTCTTTCTTCTTCTATCCAGCAAGGTTACTGTTCACATCACTGTTCACAGTGCTTAGAATAGCCACCCAACTGTCTCTAAAAACTTGTGTTTTCATTCCCAAAATCCTACCTTCTTACAAACTCTTAAACTCCTATTTTTAAATACTTTTGCAGCCACAAAATCCCACTAAATCCAATCCTATAAGTCTATTGTTGTTGCTGCTAGTATACTTACACTGGGCCTACTACTTGTAGGAAAGTAATCCCTACTTGTCCTACATCAAAAATTCAGCTAGAAAGTTTCTATTTCTCTCTATTTTTACTTCGGCTATCACTTGATTCATTTGATAAAAAAATTTGCAGGCATTATTTTTTAAATAAAGACAATATCCATTTTTGACTAGTTGTCCAACACTTTGGCAAGTTTTGTTCATGGTCCGGCACAAGCAAAACATTTCTTGCATATCTCCCCCCCAGGTTTTCCACAGCATTAGTGCCTTTCCCGTTTGCTTCAACAATAGCTCCATTCTCCATATGCCCTTCGATGTAATTGTATCCATGCCAAGGAAGATTGTTTCCTCTCTTGACATGTGATTAATACAGTCTACAGCCATTATCAAGGTTCTTTTTTCCTTTTTCTTTTCACAGGAGGCCAATTGGAATGCATAAATCAAATTTTCATCTTCCTCTTTTTCTTCTGAAAAATTCGCTTGATCATTTGACTGCATTTTTTTAATACATGCCCAAACTTTTGGCAATGATAACATTGGGGCTTTGCAACGAAACCATCAATTTAAAGTAGAATGATTAGGTTGCTTACAAATCTTGAAATGCCATTTAGAGTTATGGGGACTCGTACCTTTTTTCTTACTTTCTCCCTTATGTTTACATGATGATTTCGTGAATATGCTTGCTTCTTTTCATTGCTTGAATTTTCTTCGAAAAAATCTTGAGGCTTCAAGTTTAACTTGGACTGAAATGCACTTTCAGCAGATAGATCAGTGTGCTTCAGCTTTCTTTGTTCTTGAGATGACATTGTGGTGATCCCACAAACTCTTGAATGGACACAGTGCTATACTCTCCAATAGCTGCAACAACACACTTGATAACTTTTTTTTTTGTTTTTTTCCCGAGCATCAACAAAGGGAGTTTTATTATTAAAAGTCATGAAACAGAGAGAGGGCAAGGAGTCCTCGAATCAGAAAGTTACTAGAGAAAGTTCAGATCAACATACTTGACAAGTATTGAGTATATCCATACTTGTCAAGTATGCTCAAACCCTTAAACCCTAAAACGAACTTTCTCTAATACCTTTCTGATTAGAAACAGCTTCACTCATCTGATCAAAAACCTTTGTGACTAAAACAAGGGCGACCTAGTGCACAAGGCTGTTGCTAAAGTGGGGTCTGGGGAGGGCAAGCTGTAAGAGGCTGAATAACAACTTCCATGACTTCAGAAAAAGACTTAGATAATTTCTGAATCTTTCAATTTTTTATTTTAAAATTCTCTTTGTAAAGCCTGGAGTTTGACATTTCTTAATTTGTTACTTCCACGAAATTCTTGCTTCAAGAAATCCTTGGCTCCTTAAATAGCTTTAGAAAGTCCATTCTGAATTTTGTTGGGTGCACTAGCATCCATCCTTCTATTTGTCTAAATCTTTTTTAGTTCAGCCCGTGGAAGTTGGCTCTCATCTTCTGATTCTGTGTAGCCTTTCTCAACAACATTCCACGACCCTTCTGCTTTGAATGAATCTTACATCTTGATTGCTCATAATCTTCTCCATCATAAAATGGAAGAACTGTACTTGGAACTTCCAGCACTTGCAGAGGATGCCATGCTCTTCTACAAGATTGCTTATCTGCAGATTCCCATGTTGATATCAAAACAGAGAGCTCTGATACCACTTTGATAGTTTTACTAGTATGAGTTACTGCTGCAGTGCTCTAGAATTAGAACAGAAGAACATAATTTTAATTTGTTTATCTTGAATCTTGATGGAGGTTTACATGGAACTAAACTCCTCTAAAATTCTTATATTAATTGGTTGGCAAAAAATGTTTGAGACACCTAATTTATCACACCTAAAAGCCACCCTAATGACGTGTTTGACAAGTGTCGAATTTTGATTTGTCAAACATTCCATCATGTGGGGTCTAACCTCAATGCCACATCATTAGGGATGGTTTAGGGGCGGTAAATTAGGGGGATGTAGCATTGTTATTATTTGGCATGGGGATTACAAAAAGACTTGTTGAGATTTCCAAATCATAATTAACCGTTCTCCCAAGTTTATCTTGGACCAAGGCAATGCTTCTCGTCTTCTCCATGCTGTTGAATGTGCTGGAAAGTGAATTACTGTCCAACACTCGGATAATTTGTTGTATGGTATATTGTATTGGACATTTAAGGAATAAGATATTAAAAAAAAAGACTGAAATGAAAATGTTGAGATGGATAAGTGTTTGTTAGACTTGATCCAAGTTTACAGTGCTAAAAGGACAAGAATGATGTCAAACAGGTTTTAAGTTGAGGCTTCTAGAAATGACTCAACTTCATTAAACTCAAGCAAGAATACGGGTTTATATAAGTTGAACAGAGAAAATGGACTAATGTACTAGACCCCAAGTGACGGGGATTACACTTGTTAAGTTGAGCCTGATCTAGTTAATGGCGAGGAAATTAGAACTTCTGTTATTGTTATTCTATGCTGGGTTATGTACAGATTTGATATCTTTAGGTGTGTTATATAGAAGCATAGATTCACCTCATGCTGATCTGTAACTTGCTATATTTTCAGCTTCACATCCACGATGAAAAATTTAACCAACCGATATTCTTGTGCAACAATATTTCTGGACTTGTGGAGCCCGTAAGTACACTTTTTATTTTTGTTTCATTTTTTCAATTCTGTGCAATGTTTTTCCATGTTCACTCACATTGTTCTCTGCCTCATACATTTAAGAATACAACTCATATTCCTATTCTGACCAATCCCAGGTCATCCCAGATGACCAGCACAGGGCACTGTTCTCAACTCATGCCTTTAAGATCCTCTTCAAGGAAGGGGGTTGTGGAACATTTGTCCCTCTATTTTTCAACTTGATCAAGTCAGTGAGGCAGTATAGTCAACAATATGCTTCTAGGGAGGAGCAGCGTGCAGATCCTTTGCAAGCAGCACAAACTCCAGTGGATGAAATGATGAGACATGCGTAAGTCACTTCGGTTCCTATTAATGAGTTAATCACTTCGCCCTCTTGCTTTAGCTACTTACTTAGGAACTAGCTTCACACCTCCCCCAAGAACTCAAAGGTGGCCCAGTACATCTAATGGCATCACAAACCTATTATTGCCTCAATTTCCTTGGCCTAAAGGGCCATGGTCCTCCAAGAAGCTAGCTGTGGAGGGTACACCTTCACATAGTTGTTAGCAGGTCTTGTTCATTAACGGAATTATCCAAGCAAATCACTCCAACTAAGAATAGCCATACACCACTACCTATAGAATCAAGAGAGAGGTGCGAGAGAGCCTTCTTAAGAAAATTCTGACCCCTAGGAGTTGGCCTATAGACGACCCTCAATTTGATTTCATTTACCAGAAAAGGCAAGTGATATAGCTGAAGATTATCTTTTGTGGTTCCATAATTCCTGATTTTTATTTTTTATTTTTCATTTGGCAGATATGTTGATCCAAATGATCCGACAAGAATTTTTCTGCAGCAACCCACTTCAGAATCACAGTTGAGGCGGCGCACCTATCATTCCCAGCCAGCGGAACATTCAATATAGTTTCTCTATATGCTTTTTTTATTCCCAGGAAATATAGTTCCTGTTCTTAAGACACCATGTTAATGCTATATATATTGGATTGTATGTCTTTTCTTTCAACTAGATGATATGCTTGAGGCAACTTTCAATATTGTGAATTATGTGAAGCAGGACCTTTGTGTGCCGGGTTATTAGAGGTTTGGGTGAATAAAATAACATCCTCAAAAATATCGTTGTATAAATGATCTGTAACAAAATGGATTTGAGTGTCATGTGATATTATAGCCATCATTTTTTTTGTTCTTTGTTTTTGTTTTTGTTTTTTGTCTTTTTATTTTTTTTGATTTTAAATTTTGGCTAGTGTGGCCAAATCAAATGGAGTAATGTTGGTTGGTATTTCATTTGGGAACATTTGATGTGCAATTTTTTGTCATTAATAAGAGAGTAATGATAGAGATTTACAATTTGAATTTTTAAATTTATTCACAATGATGCAGGGTTCTTAAATATTTTTTTAAAACCAAATCATGTAACTTGGGGTCTTATATATTTAAATATAGTTTTCAAATGTAGTCATCATAATATTTTCTTAATTAAATTTAATAATAGCATTACAAATTTGAGGAATTTTACTTTACATTTTGGTGGGGTTTGATAATTGCATATTTAGGTAGATTTTCATTTCGTGTCGCATTCCCGTTAACCACTTCTAAGTGGCAACCATGCAACATGGGACCTCACACACAGTCATCACCACCAACAAACACTCCTCAACAACACCAACCCCACCACCAATCTCTACAAAACCAGATTCGACAATGGAGAGCAATAAGAGGATGAGAAGGGGGAGTTTTTATTTGCACACACTTAATGATATTTATTTTTATTATAATTTTATCTCCAAGTGAAATTACTATTATGAATATCACACAAAATTCAAATAAACACAATTTCTCATTGCACATCCACTTCCATGTTGAAGTTGCTGAAGCTCACTAGTCCATGATAGCTACTCTATTCTTCCATACTTAGTTTGCTAAACCTCCACATTCCATCCTCATCCTTTTAAACCCTTCATTGTTAGCCTCTATTCATTAGTTTCCACACACTAAACACCCTCATTCTTGATTCTTAGCTTTTAATTAGTTTACACACTAAACCTCATCCCCATTCATCATTGTTATGGAAGATTTCCCTTCTGAAAATTCAGCAGATAAATGTTTATGAGAAAGATAGCCAAGGAAATGTGAGTTTTGCCATGTGAAGTTTTTTTTTTTGTTTTTTCCAGGGTCTTTCGGATAATTAGGGTCGAAATATATCAATTTATTCGGCAGTCCACTCCCGAAATAATTATGTAATTTTGGAAGTTGTCCAAAATAATTTAAAATTTTCAACATTCAACTTCCGAACCGATAAAAATAATTCGAACAACTACATTCGAATAGTATCATTTTGTTAGACACTGTACTTCCGAATGAAGTAAAAAAAAAAATTCCCCATTTTATATTCTAAATTCGTAAATTGCATACTAAATTTGCATGCAAATTTGTCTTTATAATACCATTTCAAATTTGTAATGTTATACAAAACATGCAGCGATATGTCTCAACTCAAGGAAGTCAGGTTTGGGCGGATAGTGTGTTGGATTAAATTACTCAATGCACAATTGAACAAGTTCACTCTACGAAATTATAATGATTATAGTTTGAATTGCTCAACAAATGTAAATGTTTTATAATATTTATTTGACTTTGTAGGTATTCAAAAGTAAGGATGAATTGTTCAATTAAGTACGTGAAGTTGGAAAGAGAAATAGTTTGGTTATTGTAATCAAAACATCAAACTACGGTGAAGGAAAAAAAAGACCTAGGATGTATCTTGGTGGCGAAAATACCATAACTCTTGCGCTGTCGACTGGGATGATACATATGTGCGCCGTATTCAGAATTTCAAGGATATCATTTATGATACTGTAGCTACTCGAGAGACATTTGATGTCGAATGACACATGTATACATTTGACAATGTTAGAACTATGGAAGAAGTTAATAGATGTGTTTTTTGATGTTGATGTGTTCAGTGGCATGGATTAAATGTTATCAACCATGTTATCACTACATTCTAAAAAGAAAATATAATTTACAATGGCATCGACCATTGTTAACATTCCATTCTAATAACAAAATATCATTTATAATGTCATCGACCATTGTTACCATTCTATTCTAATAACAAAATATCTTTTATAATGTCATTAAAAGATGTGTACAGCAATGTCAGCTTACAAAAACACCACAAAAAATTCATCAACTGACAAATAACATGTCACGAATCATCTGTATGCCTGCGACTAGGTAAGTATGAATGGATCCCAAATTCATCAATAAACCAAGGTAAACAACAGGAACCATACCGCCACTCTTGTCACTGAAAAGTGTACATCCCAACAGAAACAACAAATAAGCTCTAGCAGCGCACTGTATGGCCTCCTCTGGGTTTGAATCTATGACACCAGCAAACTGACTTTGCAACTACTCAAGCCTGACTGAATTTCCACCAATAGTAGAAACCTCGTCATGTGTTACACGTTCAGTAATCCCCAAGCTAGAAACTAGTAGTGTAACTCCATGAAGATTCGTCATATCTGGTACGCTGACTGATCTACCTACAATAGGAAGGCTAAGAATAGTGCCAACATCATCCAAGGTCAAGGTCATCTCACCAACTATCATATGAAATGTGTTCGTCTCAAGTTGTCATCTTTCAACAAAACTGGAGATTAGAAGCTTGTTAACGAACCGATAAGTGCAACGAGCTAACTGTGACAGCCTAGACCGCTCAATAATGGCTTTAAATCTGGTGTTGTTGTCTACTGACCACCATGGCCATGCAAGGATCTTTGAAGAGTGATTTTGACACTTTAGGGGCCTTCATTCCTGTAAAACAGATGAATACATCATTAGAAACTACAATATAATACCAAAAAAAAAAAAAAAATCATACACAAATGAATTTCACTACTACTCAGGAATGTTTATATTTCTCTGCCAAACAGTTGCAGCGACATGACTATTGAAACTCTGCAGTATTGATGGATCAGTCGGACCACCTGGAAAAGCATGAGTAAGGTCCTCTTCCTGAACAGTAGGAGAATCGAGTAAAGGGGCTTCCTTCACGGCAATGTCAGGCATATCATCACCTTCAACTTGTCTTTGGTTTCGGCTCCGACTTTGACTGACACTGGGGATATCATATTCTATTGAAACTGGATCTGGATCACAATCTCGACCTTATCCTCGTCCACGCCCTCGTCCCCGTTCATGGTCAACATCCAATACACGACGTCGTCTATTTGAAGTAGTAAGTGAGACACGTTGTTGACATTCAGAATCCATATTATTTGCAAAAATTAATATATTTAATGAGTATACAATTGTAAAAAGAATATACAAAAAAGGGGAAAAAAAAAACAAAAACAAAACCGTTTGGAAGTTGAAAATTGCAAATATCTATTTTGTTTGGAAGTTGAAAACTGAAAAACCAGATTCATTTCGGAAGTTGAATGTTGTCCGAATTAAACATATTCGAAAGTTGAATGTAGAAAGAATGAAATTTTTTTGAAATTCTACTGTTGAGATAAATGATAATTTTTGGAATTTTACTTCTGAACAAATTGTTTATTTTCGAAAAACCAATTCCAAATGAGGAACATATTGCTCATTTCGGTGGGCTATGCATTCGTTTGTTTAAAAAATGGTAAAAACAAATCCTACATTACAAATGAAATAATGGTAAAAACAAATCCTACATTACAGATGAAATATGAGTTATGATTGAAATAAATAAACTGACCTAAGTTCTCCAAATATGAAGAATTCCTTTAATGATTCAATGAGATGTCTTCAATGTTTCAATGGGATGTCTTCAATAGATGGATGCAACTTTTGAAGACGACAGGTAAACTGTGAGAGATGGGCGTATGTGAGACGGGGATGATAGTGGAATGGGTGTGTTTTTGTACCGTTCAAAGAGATGGGTTTGGGGGTTTGGGTGTGTGTATAAGGGTAGGTGTAGAATAAAAGGTGTATGTGGTGAGATTAATTTTTTAGGTGCGTGTAGTGAGAAGGATGTGCAAAGAGTGGAAACGGTGTGTGCAAATAGAAAGCTTCCATGAGAACGACAATCATTTGGAAGAAAAGCAATGGAAGCAAGAGAATCCAAAGGAAAAGAGATCCTAACAACAACAACAACAACAACAACAATGCTGAGATGGGTTCTTCTTCCAAATGGGAATCTCTCAACTCAGATCTCTTGCTCGATATTTTCTCTCTTTTCAAACCCTTGTTCTTGATATCCACCGTTTCTTTGGTTTGTCGATCTTCGGGACGCGTTTGTTCGATCATTTGTTCGGCAATGATAATGACAACGCCCTCGATTTTACCATTCTCAACTGCGATTGCTATCGGAGGCTGTTTGGATCCGAAGATAACCCTTTCAAGAAGGCGTTTCTGATGAAATTTCTTCGTGGTGTTATGGATGTGTATAGACGTGACGATGATGAGGAAGATGGTATTAGGGTTACTTCGATCACCAGAATGGTGTTTCTTCTGGGCTTCTTCAATTGACTGATCATCACCTTGTTTATCTCGCGAAAAGGTGCATCAATTTATCCAAATTCAGAATTTCCCAATTTTTTTGGTGTCAATTTGGTGAAATTTTGAATAGGGAAAATTAGCGAAACATCCTCTCCAATTTTAGGTAGTAGTAGAGGTGCAATATGTTTTTTTATATTAGCTAAGGTCTTTTGATGAAATTTCTTTGTGAAAGAGAAACTTTTATGTGAAAATTGAAATTTGTGTGTCGGGCCGAAATAATTTCTGTGTCGAATTTTTTTTGTGAAAATGTTTAGCCACCCAATTACTATGAAAATATTATATATCCTTTATTTTATAAAATCTTATTTAAACTAAAAACCCCATTCAAATACTGAGTTGATGCCAACGGCACAAAAGTATTACTGAAATTAAAGATTTGGTCTTTAACCTTAATTTTGTGGAAATACGGTTGAAACCCGTTTAATTTGGCTATTTTTTTTCCTTAAAAGATCAGATTGTCCAAATTTGTCTAAAAGCTGTAATTTTGGAAAATTCTGGATTTGGATAAAGACTTATAAAACTTTGAAAGGTATGGGAATTGGGGTGTGCCTAATAGGCCCAGCTCGGGGTTAGGGTACATTGAGAAGAAATGCTTGCAAAAAATCAAGTTGATTAGATATTGATAGTCCTTTCATCGAATTGCATTTGTATCTAAAAAAAAAAATGATAAATGTGATTTAAAGTATAAAATTGAATACAAATGCAACAGTGGCTATGGGTGCCTCCCACACAGCAGCCACCCCAATTCCGTAGTAGTTTGTATGTGATATATGTATTCATCTATTTGGTAGTTTGTCTGTCTGTGTTTCACAGATACGGCGGCTATCTATCAAACTTCAAGGCATAGAGTAAACAATTTTGCAACATAAAATTCATTTGATAACTTCTTTGAAAAAGTATTGGGTGTGGTTTGAAGGACAATTAATATATTTGTTTGAGAGAAAACCAACAATTGAGAAAATTGAAAAAAATGGGAATTGTTTGGGATGTCAGAATGTTAGAGAATAATTTGGTAGTTACTGAGAGGCAGTGGAAAGCGTGGGGTTTTCATCTTTTGGATCAATTCTATAATTTTTGTTGCTCTGGTACAGATTTTTCACTTGTTCCTTATATGTATGTATGCGTATGTTATATTTCCTGGTGTTTGTTTTGTTACTTTGATGGGTATTTGTTTATGATGTGGCAGCGTGCTACCTAATAATATAATATTGTATACAATTCATTATGTCGAGTCCAATGAAACAATATTGCATATATAATTCATTATGTGGAGGGTTAAGGTGGTTGAAAGTTTGTTGGTTTTGTCTTTTGAAAATGAAAATGGATGGATAAATTTTTTTAATCTGTGTGTATAATAAGGAAAACTTGATTGTGATTATTTAGTGGAATTTTGGAAAAGATGCTAGAGTTTATTTTTTTTTTATGTATTATTTATTATTTATTTTTATGCAACAAGGCTGTAAGGGTTTTGGATGCTGGGTTAAGGGCCTTAAGGCTTGTTGGAAAGAAATCGAGTTAGCTATGTGATAGTAAGCTTAGATTGAAATATTAAGCAGGAATCAAGATGGGTGATTAAAACAGATAATTCTTTTCTAACGTGTGGGAGAATAAGCAGTTAATGTTCTAGTCTTAGAATCCCCTCGGTTTCATATCTAAGAGTAGGTTGCAAAAACAGCCTCAAGATAGCGCCCCCCCCCAACCCAACCCAACCTAACCCAACCCAAAAAAAAGAATTGGCCTTTTCTCCGAGTTCAAAGGATATTAAAATCATATCACACCTATGACTTAGTGCTTATCAAATAGGGGTTTCTCATAATGCTACATGCCTTCTTCAACCTGTTTATCTTATTGCAATGTTTATACTAACATATGAATCTTGCGGATAATAATTCTTTTCCTGCATAATTTTTCTTCAGCGATTGATGATTCAGATGGGCATTATATGTACTTTCCAACAGCCAACTTATGTTGTCCTTTTGTGTTCTGATTGCTCTCACTGATTTGGCTAAGTAAAATACATGGAATACGCCTTTAATTGGGTGGGGGTACTTGCAGGAGTAGTGGAATAGTAAGCCACCATTACCCGGAGACAATTAAACAACTGTACTTTTAAATTATAGATAAATTACTTTCTGTTTTTCCTTTTGTCGTTTTGAAAAAAAAAGGTTTAGAATTTTCTTTCCTCTATATTAGTTCTCAGACAACAAGGTGCCCTCAATTTTATTGAGAAATAATCTCCTTGCTAATTTATTCAGTAAATGTTTCTGGTTTGATTTGAGCAACTAGTGAAGGACTTGGACTGTTTGCAAGAGAGAGCATAAAAATCTTAACAGGGCAAGAGAATTTCTTTGTTCATAATTCATGTATGTTATGCTCAAATTTTAATGTTCATATTTTAGGTCAACAGAGCTCAGAGAACTCTCCCTACCTTTTGGGAGAAATATTAAACATGAAGGATTTTCAAGGGCAATCTGCTACTGGAACAGGATGGAGGAGATGTCAATTGGTCCAGCTATATGCAATAATGACATTTTTCGTATCATTGAAGCGATAGGCATGAACTGCAAGCAGCTAGAAGCCCTAGAATTGTTAGGCTTGGTCTTAACTCAACAATTGTCTCCTGAAATTGCCAAGAGTCTAAAGGGACTGAAACTATTGAGATTAGAAATGGTTCATATTTCAAAAGTTAGTCTGAAGAAGTTCCTATGAAAATGTAAAAAACTTCAGAAAGTAGAGAACTGGCATTGTCTTACTTTAGAAGGTACAGAATTGAATTTCTTAGCATCATGTGAGATAAAGAAGAGAGAAATGAATGGTGTTACTAAATGGTCCCTTAGCAGAGATGCAGAACTGTATGACATGAAGAATCTACTGAATTTACTTTGGCAGTGAAGTAATTGACCGAGCTTATGAAGAATCAAACATGGTAAGTCACACAGTGGGTTCAATGTGTGAGAGTTAATATTTATAGGATTCTTGTTTTAGAACTTATTTTGTGATTGTTTCAGGGTTTGTGTTGTTTTCTGTGAACACAGTTTTATTTTCTATTGGCCGCCAAGTAAAAACCTACTCATTTTGTCTTCTCTCCGTCGAATCAAGTTTTGTCACTGCAAAAAAAAAAAAAAAAGAAAAAGAAAGAAAACACTTATTTTTGGTTTCCCTTGCACATTTTTAGAAAAGTTCTTTATTTGCTTTCAATATCTTTTTGGTTGGAACATTTCATTGAGGGCAGTGGTCGAGTCTGGTGGTAATTACTCCTGTGGCTTGGTTACATGTTTCCTCGGAACCAAGAATGCTATCTTTTGTTCTAACTTACTGACCTCGAACATGGGCTTGTTTGGGAACATTGATTTTTAGCCAAAAAGTCAAAAAGGCACTACAAGTTGTCAAATCATTCTCTATACTTGCTCTGTACATCTTTTCATAAAAAGCCAAAAAACCAATTCTTAAAAACACAAATGGTTGTAATTACTGAGTAGATTTCAAGTTTAGTAGCCATGGAAAACTGGTGCTGGTATAGCGCCTTGGAGATTGGAATAATTGGATTGACTCAACATAGTTGTTCCTTGGTTTGAATGTTCCAATTGTTAAAATTGTTTCTTTTTGTGGGCTGCCTTGACAATGCTTCAGTTTGTTACACTTGGATTAAATGGGTTGATACACTCTACCATTTATAACGAAAGACCGCCAAGT